AGATGCAATTTAATTATTAATATTATATATAAATATATATAATTCAAATCATTAATGTCCATTTTTGCTTAATCACATTTTTTTTTTTTGTTAATCATAATCAAATTATCTTTAGCTATTATCTCTACCCACTTATATTTTATGATTGTTTTAAACCTAGTTGATGAATCTTATATATATGAAAATATCAAGCTAATTCTAAACTCTTTAAATTTAAATCAATTTATTTTAATACTAGACAATCAATAAGATATTCCTTCTAAAATCATTAAACTAAAGCAATTCTTCAAACCATGATCCTATCAAGATTAAAGATTCATCATCTATTAATATTATTATTAATATAATTCTCAAATAATAAACTCCTTTCTTGAAGTTCTTTCTTATGATTGGTCATAATTCATTCAAATAAAACTAAATATTTTACTTCATGAAATTCATCAACCATTTTAAAATACTACAAAAGAATTCATTTGTTTCTCCAATTATCTAACTACCAAATAAATCCTAAATTATTTATTGTTTAAAATTTTTTATGTTTTTAAAATAATTATAATCCTTCAAATGTGTATAAAGTATCAATTTATCATTAAATCCAAGCTATCAATGTTTATGATCCTTAATATATGAAAAGTAATTTCCTCATTCAGCATTTTCATGTATAAACAAGAACACCTTTCAATTAATTTATCAACTTTAACAAATTATGCAACTCTCTGACAATATTATCGCAAGTCCACCTAAACATATTGATTTTAAGTAGAAATTCACATAATTTTATCATGAGAATTTCTAATTATATCAAACTCAAATAATTATAAATGGAAAATAAAAATCGAGGTAATTGTTAGAAGTATAATCAAATAAAAATGAAAAAAAAATGATTATTAAACAAATAATGTTTAACATCTTTTTTCAAGAGTCAATTTTACATAATCCTTCATCTCAAAAATATTAATTTTCCCCATCCAAAACATCTGAATTAAGATAAATCTAATGCTCCGAATAATTACTACTAATTTTTATATTAATCAACTATTAGAAATAGTTCTTCTGTCTCTTTCTGAAAATAACAATCTGATGATAGATTTCATTTACCAAGCACCGTTAAATTATGTTGTAGTGTGTTTCATATTTGATTTTAATTTTCTAGTGAACAAATTACAAAATTCATAACAATCTTCTTAAATATAAGAATTAAGAATTAATCTACTATCCATCAAATCCTTTAAGTGTCTTAATAATTAGCTTAGATTCCTATAGTAATTAACATCTTCTTATATTTGAATAAAAACTAATTATAACTGAAACTCAATTTCATAATAGATTCTTCAATTAAGAAGGAATCTAGAGAATAATAGATTCGCACGTATCTTTTGGAATCCAAATTTAATAATCTAATATACGCTTTCTAAATTAGAAATCTATAAATAGTTATTAAAGGAGTGAGTTTATTTAACAAGTAGCTCCTAAATTAAAGAGACCCACATATCCATATGGAATCCCTTAATTCCAAATTTGTTTTCTTCTAATTCTTATAGATTAAAGGTAGAATCTGGAAGAAGTGCTTTTAAATCTTACTTAGTTCCAATAATATATCAAAGTCTCTTTTCCTTGTATTGTTTCTCTTATATATTGCATTAATAAATTATAACTCATATTGTTTAATTTTTTTATTTCGATGTATAAATTTAAAGAAACCGATACTTAAATTAATTAACTACAAATATTCACTCTATTTTTGTTGAGTGATTTAAATTTAAAAAATTAGTTTAAGATTAAATTTCTTTCCAAATAAATACTTAAGTAAAGTTTCTAAAACTTTCGATATGATATGAAGATTATATCTAGAGGACAAATAAGTTCAATCATATTAAATGCAGTCCAAACAATAGTACTTTTAGGACAATGATAAGAAAATATTCTGCATTGTTAGAAATGATTTTTTTTATAATTAAATTATTTTTTATTATCATCAAAGATCATATTACCAATAATTAAGGATACTTTTTTGTTGACACAAACACTAAAAATACTCATTTCTACATAAATCTTTATAAATTTAGACCATTAATTAGATTTAAGATTTTATAACAAGATCTATATCACTTCTAAATTTAATATTTCTGCAAGATCTTATAAGATTAAGATTATTGATATTCTATTCTCCATGTTTTATGTTTACCTCTCCACAATCTTGGTATATTTACTAATTCTTCACTTTTAATAGTTTTATTCAAATAAAGAAACTTTTTTTTATGTTAGAGAGTAAAATTTTCAATAAATCATTTAAAAGATGAATGCCTACACTCTTATAAAAAGTAACTAATTCGCCTAAGTTAAAATGGAAGAATGCATATACAGACTGGATTAATCGTGTGTGTCTCGAATCTAATTTTTAAGAGGATAAAAGTAATGTATTTGCTATTCAGCCATCTGTATCTCAGCTTGATTTAAAAGGCCATAATTTAATTTTATTATAGAATTGTTTAATGCTAGATTGATAAACTTATAAACTAGACATGTGTTTCAAATTTTAATTGACAATTTTTGAACATACAAAAATGATCTCGTTTAGATATAGATTATTGATAAATTAATAGGTTGAAAAAAAAATATATACTATTTTAAAATTATAATTTCAATCTTCTGTAATCATTTATAATTATTGATTGAAATAATTTATACATTTTGTTCAAAATAAGTATAATGAAGGGCTATAATCGTTGATTTAAATAATAAGGTAAATAAAGTAAACTGTAAACTCTATCAGAAAGGAAAGCTTTTCATTCTGTTTCTAATCGCTTAGACTTTTAATATATTAACTGTTTTGAGCTATCTATATATTTATAGATTAATTTAAAGACTATCATCTCATTATAATCTTTTATAAGAAGTATGAACATCTAATTAGTTAAATCTCATAACGTATAGAATTTTTAAAAATTCATGAATGTCAGAATATTTATATTTATTATAATAAATATTATGATAGAATAGACAAGCATTCATCATCTAATATAGGTGTGCATCATAGATTGTTATTAAGGATCTAGTTAATTATACAGAACATTCACGATTACTAAAATCTTGAAAATAGATGATATCTCCATCATAATTTGGATATTCATTTTAATGTATTTAATAGGGCCATTTTCGTAGCCTGTGTATCTATAGAGCAGTAATAAATTGAATCAAATTTGTCTTATTGTTCAACAGTTCTTGTTTCAGAACTAGTATTATCAATATTATAAACACTACTCTCTACATCATACTTATTTAATAATAATAACCTAACTATATCTAATTATAATCTTAATTAACTATGATTGCTCCATTTTGACTATTTTTTACTGTGCATATAATAAGTATTATATTCTTAGTATTACTAATTCTAACAATATTGGCATCTACTTTGAAATTGCTTATTCTTTGGAGATATTCAAATCACCTTTACTAATTCATTTTACTAATATTCCTTTTTCCAATGTTATTTTTATCATTACCCATCAATCGCATTCTTCAAATTATGTTATTTTCATATCA